CAGCTTTGTGATGCCTTGTGAATTCAAACAAAATCTTCACAATTTCATTGTGTTCTGTCTATCCTTTTGCTGTCTTTTTAAACAAAGAAGTCCAATCAGGATTTTTTCCCAAGAGAGCAAACAGTATTTGTGATGGGCAGTTGTCACAAACATAATTCACACTGTGCATGCAACAATGGAAGGAGTGGGAGTTTTTTTAGACAGAAAGAGAAACATAGAGCCAWACAAACTGCATAAAAATAAAGCAGAAATGTAGGCTACGTAAGTTTCTTTAKAAACTAATGCATTGTCCTATGCACTTACTCCACAGTGTTGTAACTTAGTAGGGAATTTACTCAAATGAAACTGCAAAGTGGTCCCCAAATGTRAAAGTCCCAAGGGAAACATCTCAGKTTTTTGTAACAGAATAAAAAGCATTGCAGTTTTAAGACGCCCTGCATCCCACAACAATTAAATGTATGAAAGTTAAGGTAGGGGTCGATGGATTACCTGAGAATRTTTGTACTGTGGGCTTTGTCACTGTGCCACTGCTGTAATCTTGCCTGGACTCAACAGAAAGGCTGAGAATGTGACAGAAACTAGAATAGAACTATTCTCTAATGCCAAAAAGCATTTGGACTCCGGAAGGCATCCTGAAGTTACATGTTTTGTAAAGGCACCACGTTTTTAATTCTTTTTAACAGGAAYATGTTTTCATTCATTCAAAAATGATATATGATTGCACATTGTATTAAAGAAGTATGCCAGAGTAAAACTATCATCATGGTCTGAGATGTTCCTTTTCCAGGAAAGCCCAAGTTTACTGAACTGCATAAAGAGACAGTTCTCTTCTTTTGTGTGTTTACTTCAAATAGAAATGAATGGAATCAGTGTAGCCTTTTTTACCCTGTAGCTGACAACTCTGAATGTCAGCTCCCTTTAATTGAATAGCATCAGAATTGTAGAATTTTTAAACATCTTTTTCAGTACAGCAACAAAAGGCCCTAACTTTCCTGGGAGAGAGGGGGACTATAGCTTGCTTTAAAAACCTGGATATCTCTGTAATATTAGAGTTTATTTTGAACAACTCTCCCTGGAAAAGAGCAGTCACTTAAATAGCCAGGGAGAGCATTAGATGAATGTGAGATGAATAAAGACAACACTTAAGGAAGCATTTTTCCTGCACATGGATTCTTATTATGTTGGTGTGTCATACTAATATATGCAAAATTAATTGAGAAAGATGCCAGTAGAAAGGAAGCCAAAGGAGAGAAAATCTCAGCTGCTAAGAGACASTGCTTTACTTTTTCTGAATAATCCTTAGGTATAAATATTGCCAGTGATATYTTATCCTTAAATCTTGAATCATATTGAAATAGTAATTTATTCATAGTTTAAAAGGTTTATTGTGATAAGTAGCAGTCCTTTAGATTATCAAGTCCACCACTCATGCAAGTGATCTCTTTTTCCTTTGACAGAATTTTAGCCACTCATGCTGATAAAAAAGGTACTATTACTATTTAAAAGTTCAGTAACAAAATGATAAATGCTGTGGATAGCTTTAGTTTTTATTTGAAAAGTGAGAAGTTAATAATAATGATGATTTCCATGGGGTTGATACAGCAGAGTCTAGACTTGATGAAATCACATTCCCAAATATGCYGTTGTCAAGCCTAAGGTCTGGATTTAGAGACACAGTGAGGGTGAAATTGTGCAAAGTATATGAGAGTACCAGAGTGGAGTTTCAGTTTTGCTCAACTCTTGACCAAATGGAGAGAACGTGAAATATGTAACAGCACTAATGGGGAGAATATTTCTGTGTAAGGGAAGGATCAGTGACCACTAATGGAGTGAGGASTAATGGCACAGTCGTAATTAAGACCTGAAGAATGAATAAACAGTCATGAAATTCAACTTTCTACTTACTCCAGGCAAGTCTGGATCCCAGAAGGGAAATTTAAGACACTAGATGTCAAAGAAGCAAAACGAAATAAAGCAGAGGGCACACAGTTTAAAACATTTTATAACAGCATATAATGTAATACTAATGTTATACAGCTCTGAATATTTCTTTAAAATGGCTAAAATCTTTTCTTGAGGCAAACCAACCTGTTGAAACCTTTTTGGACAGCAGACTGATTAGAAAACTTAGTAAGAACAGCAGTAAGCATTTATATTAACAGGTCTCCAGTTCAAGGTTTAGAAAATAAAGATTTAGGCTTTCAATCATAAGCCAGGCTGTCACTGACAGGGCATTACCCTTAAGGATTGATTATTACATATTCATAATTTTATTAGTTATCATTACTAGGTCTGATTTCGCTTGTTGAAGCTGAAGAGTTGGACATTGTGCTATCAGTTTGGTTCATTCAGGCCATTCCCATATTGTGCTGTGTTGGCACAGGAACCAGAATCTTCAAAAGAGAATTTCTGTCTGGACTGCAGGCCCAGGCTAAGTATAATCCACAACCTTTGCTTCCTTATTTATTTGATTTGTACTTATGCCAACAGACTTCTGGAACTTTTTATTGTCTGCCAGTAAAGAAGTGATAGGCGTAACCGTGTTGTGGTTCTTTTAGTRTCTCATTAAACCTGTTCAGCTTGGGAGGAATACTTAGAATAAAACCATTGTATGCCTTGTAAAGGAATGGGGAAATGTGCTGCCAAGGCTGGTCTGTGATATTTGCCTGGCACAGAGCTTCTGGCTGCTTTTGGGAATTCCATCAGCAGGGATTGCATCCCTTAAACTCACGAGTATTTCTGCATGAATGAGTGCAAACTATTGAACTTGGGAGTGAAGTGATTTCAGAGAAGTCTCATGGCCACGTTGTTACACCACTTAACCCCTGCTGCTATTTTCAGTGCRGCTTTTTGTGGGGTAAGGTGGCTGCCTGCTTTCTGGAGTAGGGTCAAATCATCATCAGCATTTTGGGAGAGCAGGCAGTGCAAACACGATTCTGCTCAAATGGGTCTGTCCCGAATGCTCACAGCCTTTCATGGGTTGGACATAAACAGAAAGGTGTGCACAAYCCCCTTGAAAATATCCTGTTGTCTGTTGGTAATACAGCTTTTTACAGGAATTCACTGAAGCCAGGTAAATCTCTAGAAGCTTGAATCTGTGGGCTGAGGAAATGCCTCTTCATAGATTTGACTGGTTATTTCTTGTTCTGAAATTTTTTTTTCTCTCTTTGGCAAAGAGCTGTCTGGTGCTGGAGAATTGGGGGATTTTAGGTTAAAACAAGAATCCGTGATCTCTTTGAAAGTCAAACATAATGGTAACATCATACAGCTCTGAAGAATTCTTTAAAATGACTAAAATATTTTCTTGAGGCAAAGCATATTTAATTGTTGCTTCCAGAGCCCTCAAGAAGCATATGCAAGGAGAATACCAATACTTACAATTTGTCAGATGAAAATCCCCTGTATTTCCAGAGGATCAGACAAAATACTCAAGTAGATATGATTCAGTATCTTGTTTTTTAGTCTCTAAGGGAAGTCTAAAAGAGGACATGGTATTAAGATGGTCACATGTAAAAAGAGTATAATGAAAGGCTGCCAGGTGCAGCTGTTTAATTTGGCCCTTTATAATAGAACATGACGACTCTTGAAGATAAGAAGAAGCTATTTCAAAATTGAATTGCAGTAGCATTTATACATGATGAATCATTTAAAGAAGGTTTATTATAGATTCCAATTAGTATTGTCCTTTAGTAATAAAAAAGAGGACACTTAAAGCTAAAAGACAACCATTGTTAAATYAGGCAGGTAAGAAAATAGATTACCTAAACAACATTTAATCAATTCATAGCAATCTCATGTCTAAAAGCTATTATTGAAGCAAATCGCTTAATAATTCTTCAGGAAGATGTCAGAATAGTGAAAGTACTTAAATTAATTGAGATAYAGGAAAAATCTAATTTTATTATAACCAAACTGTATCGTTCTTTGTGGTGTGAAGGTAGGTTATGTTTTGCTCTCAGACATCAGCAGTAAGTACTACTGGAAACCTGGATGCTGGAACAAATAAGAGATGCCAGTAACTCACTGGCTTCAGTTCTCATGGAGGAAATCTTACCAGCACCTAAAGCTACCTACTTGGACCAAAAAATCCACCTCTAAAAGCAAGTGCTGCTGAATTCCTCATGCTTACACATTAGGTGTGTATGCTGGCTGTAATTGATTTGCTGTTAATTCTTCATTTAGATTAAATCTATGAGTAATTTCTGTGCTATTTCTTTGCATCTCTTACTAAACCAATCTATGACTCCGGCACATAGCAGAAAAATCAGTACACAGTCATATAACCAGAGAATATTTATTAATATAAATATTAATAAACTTATATAAGCATTCTAACCATCAACATAATGATAATTAATATGAGRGTTTGAGTTGCTTTTTCTTAGGCTTTATTGGAATTGAAGTTCAGGTATCAAGAATTGCAYTGAAATGTGCTTAGGTTTTTGCATTCAGACTGCTGTTTGGCAGACCAGACTAACAGATGACCTGTTCACATCTAGAACCTTTATCAGTAGAAACTACCTGCTGCTTAGTCTTAATCTTTACAGAATTTAGGGATGATGGTGATTCAGGAAACAAATCTCATCACACAATTGGGTAAACTGCGTATTTTCATGTTTCAAGTTATTAAGGGAAATCTGTTTGTTCTTTCATTAATTACTTAGAGTAAATTATTTCCAGAAGGAGTTTGCAAAAGGTTACTGCCAGCCTGACTTAATTTAGGCAAAAAAAAATTCATTTGTTTTATCTTTATATCTGTGTGTTCTGCTGTTGGCTGCAATTCACTCCAGAGTTATTTTACCTCGTCAGAATCCAACCGCACACAATAATCACTCCATGGAAATCACAAGATCTTTATGCCTCYATCTGAAGTGTGAAGGAAGAAAACAAACCTTAGAGAGGGAAAAACATTGGGCAGGCCTGCATGAATGGTTGGAATTAGAATAAATAGGCCGTGCATGTGACTGGTCACTAACAATAATTTCATTTGGTTCACCTAGAAAAAAGAAGAATGGAGAAGAAGAACAGCCAAAGCCCTCTCTCAGTAATCAATACCGAATTGTTACACCCACATTCCAGTATAATATGGATTACAAGAAAGTTGGCAAATGTATTATTATAAACAACAAAAATTTTGAAGACAAAACAGGTAATGTTCTTCCTTGATGATACTCATTAAAGACCATAGAATTTTAATGTTTTTTTTAATCATTTAAGCATTTTTTTTTTAGGAATGGAATTTTAATGAATGTGTTTATCCTTTTTGATAAATAGTTGTTCCCAAAACTTTTCCTGTTCTCTAACACTGAAGTCAGAATGGCTCTTTTCAACATCTTTTCAGTATATGTCTCAAAGACCATYTCTCCTTGCTGTACCAACTTCAAACTAAACCTTTGTTCCAGAGTTTAAAACTATGTYGTTAAAATCTGAACTTTGGCATCTGCAGCCCATGTTACAAATTCTCTGTCCCTGAGCTACAGCTATGAGCTACAAAAGCTAATAGCTGTAGCTGTGCTCTGTTCAYACTCCTGCATTTAACTTTCCAGACCACGTGTGGTTTCAAAGTAGACACATACTCGTGCTATAATCAACTTTTGTAGGATTTTTCCCTTATGTTCGGCAAACACAGTAAGTTGTTTTCCCCCAAGATTGTTTATCAGTTCCTTTTACTGGGTATAATAGGGACACTTTTCAGCAGGTTTTCAAAGGATGCTTTTCAACAGGTTTTCAGCCAGGGGTGCTTTGTGSCTGTGTTGCACTGTATAACCAAAAGGAGATCAATCATCCTCTGAGATCCTGTGTTGCAAGGTGCTAGAGGCATGCCAGCATTTTTCAGGATAAGATATGTGTTAACACAGAGCCTTGTATTATTTTTAAAATCTCACYGTTAGAAGATTGCTTTAAAAACATGTCACCAAGACATTGTGTAAGTTATCAGTTACAAACTTCAACATTTACCTTGGGGCAGGTGAATCATTTGGAGGCATTTAATTTGCAGTGAGCCGTGTTCTTTGTTTTCCGGCAGGAATGGGCACACGCAATGGCACCGATAAAGAYGCTGGAGATCTCGCCAAGAGCTTTAAAAACTTGGGGTTTGAGGTTCACACCTACAACGACCGAAGCCGTGATGATATGGAGAAATTACTGAAGCAAGGTAAAAATTCAGAATCATACAATAATTTAGAGTGGAACAAACCTCTGGAAGTGACTGAATCTGCTCTCTGCTCAAAGCAGGTTAAAGAAGAGCAGATTCTTAGGCACCACACATATTGTTTTCTGTATGGAAGGATTTATTTTCTGAATGGACTGGGCTCAGTTCCCCATGTCATCCCCCAACATCAATTCAGAAATGCACAGGGTTCTTGTGAAGCACTTGTCCTGTGTGTTAGGTGAAGAGCCTTGTCATGTTAGATAAGGAGCTCAGCCTGTTGATTCCATGAGGCTAAACCCAGGGTCAAGTGAAGGATGCATCCATGTACTCAAGGTATTCACCACATCATAAAAAATTATCCATTCCTTCTTATGCTGCTCACTAGAGGCCCAGTGTATTTGTAGCCTCAGAAAAATGTGTTTGCTGAATATTATTTCCATTTTAAACGTTGCTACCTTTTGACTGAGGAGTGTTTCCTTTGCAGCTGCTGAGGAGAACCACAGTGATGCTGCTTGTTTTGCCTGCATCCTCCTAAGCCATGGGGAAGAGGGGCTCATCTATGGCACAGATGGACCCATGGCCATCAAGAGYCTGACTGCACTGTTCAGGGGAGACAAGTGTAAAAGCCTCATAGGCAAACCCAAACTGTTTTTCATTCAGGTAATAGCCCTAAGGAAAATACAGTGTCCTGCTGCATTGAGGAAAAAGTGCTCTGCTGGTTGTCTGCTCTAGAAAAAATGTGCAGTTTGACTTACTGAATGTTTTTGGAGGTTTACTGGAAAAATGTGTTGAGARAAGTTGTCTGTGGGTAAAATGTTTGTTTTTAACTGGTAATTTATATACAAGATTCACAAGTGTAATGGATATTATAACTAATTTTGTCCATGTAATATATGAACTTCAAAGCAGACAAACTCCCTTCTGTGCAGACAAGCTAAGTACAGTACATGATTTTCAGGAGTAATAATACTGTCCAAGTCTCTTTGAATTAAGGCTGCCTCTACAAATTACTGCATTCTACTAAAAGAAACATTTTTCTCTTCCTCAATAGCCTGAAAGTTTATACTGTATTTTAAAATYAGTATATAATTAATTGTATATTAAACTTTTAAAGATGGTTGTTTCAAACAGTATTAACTGACATACCATGAGCCTGAGTTCTCTTTTTTTTCATAATGCATAGTATTATTTACATGAGAGTTGCAGCAGATGTGGTTTTCCCTAGGCTGTTCCATCAATTAATCCTCATCCTCAAAGTGAAAACTRTGTCTGTTTTAGACTCTTCAAGCTACTAAAGTGATGTTTCTTCTAATTACACTTTTGAAATGGTTACTTTATATACTTTAAAATTATCTTAATAAAGGCAACCAACCCTGTAATGTCAGCCAGTCAGACTTGTTTTTTTTCAAGGGCTGTCAGTCAAAGCTACTGATCAAGAGCTGAAAATTGCCCACCCAGATTGTTSTCCCACTGTGCCCTTTAGCTAAAYCCATGATTGAGARAAAATTAAGAATCAAAGACATAAAYGGAAAAATATTAAAAATTCAATATACTTGTAATGGGTGGTCAAACACTGAGCAGGTTGCCCACACTGTAGAGTCTCTACCTGGGGAGTCYACTGTAAAGAAATCTTCCAGAAATTATATAATGCACAAGGCATTATGTAATGGATGAATGTTGAGAAGGACTCTAGACTAGTAAAATTAAACATGGTTAGAATTAACTCATGCTGACATGGCACTTATTGACAAAGGTGGACAGCCTCAATACCTTTACCTCCCTTTGTTTAAAAGGGAAAGCTTGTGTCTTTATCATTGAACAATTAGATATCCCTCAAATTTTATCTCTGCTTCTAATACATGCAGAGTACTGCTTAGAACTGAATCCATTAAAAATCTTGATGAATACTAATTGTTATAGAASCTTGTTTCTCCTTACTGGACAAATTCTATTTATCTTCTCTGCTTTCAGGCCTGCAGAGGCTCTGAGTTTGATGAAGGTATACAAACTGACTCTGGACCTGCCAATGACACCCTGGAAACAGATGCCAACCCAAGATATAAAATCCCAGTAGAAGCAGATTTTCTGTTTGCATATTCCACAGTGCCAGGTAAAGAAAAGGGGTCAGGATGGAGACAGAAGCCTGAAAATTCACCATCCATRTGGATTGTAGGTGGACCTTCACTGATGAGACATTTTGCACTGATGGACAAAACACAAAAGCTGGATGTGCATTGGGAATCCTCCCCTTCTGCACTGGCTGCAGAGGAAATGGGAGATTACAGATGGCAAAGGCTGTACTGTTTTCTGGGAATCCTGTCCTTCCATGTCCCAGTGGSTTAAATATGTGATGAAGGCAGGAACAGGAACAGTTACAGCACRAAAGTTATTCTCAGAGAGGAAATCTGTGATGTCTCACTTCTCACAGTTTCCCGAATTTCCATTGCAAATGCCGAAATGTAGAATGGTACTTGAATAAYGTGAGGTTTGGAGAGTTAATACAAATTATTTTCAGCCCTAATGAAGTAGGATATGTGACACAAGTGGTAAGTCCTCTCTGTGTGCACTGTTAATATTTGCCCAGCATCTTACACAAAAAAGAGCAAAAATAACACCGTATTTTCTTCCATGTCGTTCCTGTCAGGTTATTACTCCTGGCGAAATCCTGGGAGAGGCTCCTGGTTTGTGCAGTCTTTGTGCTCTGTGCTAAATGAGCATGGAAAGCAGCTTGAGATCATGCAGATCCTCACACGGGTCAACTAYGTGGTGGCCACAAATTTCGAGTCGCAGTCTGACGATCCACGCTTCAGCGAGAAGAAGCAGATTCCCTGCGTGGTCTCCATGCTCACTAAGGAACTTTACTTCTGAAAGTGTAATGCAGCCCRTGGTGAAAGGTCAGGCTATGGTTTTGGGTGGAGATGTGATTATAAACAGGAGTAAAACATTTTTAATAGCAGAAATGTAAGAACACTAGATTTTTTGTATTGTATAAGCCGGGGTATCTGATGGATGGACAGTATGCAATGTTTTAAAGAAGTAAAAGCTGTGAACCAGCCTGACAGCTATTGCTAATTATTGTATCTTGGTTTCCCTTAGTGTGGCTGTCATGATTTATGGCTACTGAAGATGTTACCAGTCAGCTACCTGGCCCATAAAGGTTTTTTCCCAGAAAGCAGATTTTAAATTAAGAATAAAACCAAAAAATTTTGAGACTCCTTCTCTTACTGCTAGCTTATGGAACCATAACCTCCTTGGAAAATTCCAAAGACCATCATATTATGGGGTATGTCCCGTGATAGAACAGTTTGTAGCTATTTTAAAGGGTGTTTCTTGGTCTCATATAATCATTTCTTTTTAATGAACTTTATTAATGAAGGCTAATGGTTGCTCTGTGCTTTATCTGAAAGTCAGTTTACTTAATCATCATTCTAGCATTGAATGAATGTGTAAAAAGATCAGTATTTTTAGATTATTTACCTGAACAATATGGAATTATAACAAATAGAACAATCAAAATTAAAATCTTTGTGAAAGATTGGCAAATTTTACTTGGATGATACTGTATTAAAGTGCCATTATAAAGACATTTTGCCTTGCAATGAAAATTGACTGATAGAACAGCCTGAAACAGTGGTATTGCAGTTCTTCTGCTTGCAGAAATAAAAATATCTGCTTGTTGATTCAGAAGTTTTGAACCATCAGAAGTTAATGACAAGGCTTCATTATAAAATGTTTAAATTTAATGTTGAAAAGATAGAATTATATGTTCCAGATTTAACTTCTATTTGTGAGGAGTTTTACCAAAACTGGAAATGCTTACTTGAATCAGAAACCAAAAGTGCCTTCTTAGTTACTGTACGGTCTTGATTTTGTGTTTTAGATTTACGTGTTTTAGAGTTACATATATTTCTACTTTTTATATTCTCTCTATAGTTGGTAGCTAGCTCAAAAAAGTAAGTTTAATGATTTGGTTAAACTGATAAAGGATTAGTTGTTCACTCTTTTCCYAATCAATGTACTCTATACTGTTTTGCAATCTTCTAAGAAAATAAGTTCATAGCATTAAAGCCAAGTTACCAAATTGTGAATTTTATTTTCTTACAAATACTGTGACATAGTGAGACATCTATTTTTCATAAGTCAAATTTACAGATTTTTGAATTAAATAAATGGTTGTTTTATGGATGTATTGAGCATGACATCAATAAAGACCTTTTTTTGTAAATATCTTTTGTATATCTGTGTGTTTGTCACTCCATGGTGAAGTAAAAACCAACCACAATATATCCCAGTCCCTTTCACTTTAAAGAATGCAGTTGGTCTCTGGTATTTTTTCAGGAGAAGGTTTATAATGTCAGTGGAAAGGTAGATTGGAAAAGTAATTTGGCCTTGGGTGACTTGAGTGGGACAGGCCATGTCCTCTCTTGTAGTAAATCAAAGTTAATGGAAATATCCTGCTCTACCAGTGCTTAATCTTGTCCTTTATAAAGTAAATTGTACAGTGGTCTAGCAGTGCATCTGAAAGTGTTCTTCCTATTGCTTCTGCCTGATAGCTCCATCCTAAACTATTTTCTGGAATTAAGGATATTCCTGGTTTGCCATAAGAATGTTTTAAATTGCTGTKAACATTATTCCCTTCTCTCCAGAACTATCCTTTGTGCCAGTTCTTGTATAGGAGATATGGAAAGATCAGGCTAAAACAGAGAAGAGAAGAAAATAGAAGAAGAAAATAACTTGGAAAGATAACTTAGAGGTGAAAGACAGAAAAGCATTCCCTTGTGTCAGGACCAGTGTCTCTGCCAGATGAGYTTTACTTTAGATCATGTCTAAACAACATTATTTAAGAAGAAAATTTGGAACTGTCAGGCATCAGCCCTGAGTGGTGATACTGACACAGTTCAGAGCTGTGCCAGCCCATGAGCCTGAAGGAGCCCACTCAGGATGAGACCCTGTCACTCAAGCACAACCAGGCTGCTGAATAGTGATTCAAATGCTGCAGGGTGTTTTAGCTCTTTTTCCTCATCAAATTTATTACAATCTTCTACTGGAAAGCAATTCCCTTTACATCCACAGGATTAGCCACATGTTTAGTGGGTTAAACCACTATAGTTAATGATAAACTGAATGTTTCTGGAGAGAAGCCCAAAAATTCACTTACAGCCAAGACAGACACTGAAATTACCCTGTCATGGCATAGGCAGCATAAGAAATCCTACTTCACCATCAGCATGTTCTACTAAATGCTCTTTAAATCTGAAATTGGCTTCACTCTATGGAACTTTGATGGTCTTTTAGGGTTCTTTATGTTGCTTTATCTTCCAGTCATGGGTGGACATAATGCTTTARAAACAGCTTGGGAACTGAAGGGATTGGTCAGAAAGTGAACCAACAAAAACACGATATCCCCAGGCTTTTTTTTCTGTATAGGAGACATTCATCTCTGCCTCAAATGTGCATATTTTTCATTGCTTCTAAGTGAATATTAATCTTCTGGACTTCCCCTTTCCAGAACAGTCTTTAATTTGCTTCCCATACAGAAACAGGCATTTCCCTGTGGGTCATATTTCAGGGTGTTTGTATTTATACGTGGACTGTAAGAAGGCAGTCACAGTGCAGGGCAAGGACAATTCATGTTTTGCTACAGGAGGCAATACAGAGAATCTGGATTTACTTGAGAGTGTATTTCTCCGAAACCTTCTTTACCATGAAGACATTTTGTTTGTAAGTATTAACAGTTCRTTTTCCCTATCTTGGAAGTTTTTTATAGTAGCTTATATCTTAATAATTTGATGGATTTTATTTGCATTTTGACTGAAGTGTCTCATTGCATTACAAAAGGTTTGAAGCAATCAAATCCTTTAATGCCAGGCACACAAAAATCTGAGGGGGTTTAATCATGGAGTTGGCATTATCTGTTTTGAATTAGACATAACCTGTTTATAATGTGGYTTTCTGTTGAAAAGACAATTAAAAGTAACAAAAACTTTTTCCCAAAAGGCAGAGCGAGATAGCACAACTAATCTCACAGSTATTTGTCTTCCCACGTGCAAATCTTGACTTTTATTGCTATCCAGAAGAGACTTTTACCCTGTCATAGGCTCTTTGAACATTGTTTTGTTGTAATTGCATTGTTTGCCAGCTGAGGTGACTCTGTCAGTCACAWTGAACAGAATAATTCRTTGCCTTTCWTTGCAACCCAGGTGTRCACCCCTTGACTTTATGTGCAGTCATTTTTCRTTTTGGAAAATGCTTTTTTATCTTYTTATTTTTCTGGTAGRYAATRGATGAAAACKCTAGAAGCAAATTTTATARTAGTTTATCACAGTATTTRTACAACAAGTCTTTATCCCCAAAAGGCAAAAATTGCAAATGTTTCCCTAAAAAAACCCTTAAAAAAACAGATTGTGCAGAGACCTCAGATGGAGCTAGGTTTGCAGTGGGTCATTCCCATTTACAGCCTGAAACAGGAGCAGTGAAAGCCTAGAGCTTCAGTTCTGTCTCAGGGTGAATTCTGTGTGTAAACCACCCAATTTCTGACCAATCCACTCCTGATTTGTTCATATTTACTTTTGGCACCGTGGAGTGAATCGTTGAGGAARCAGAAAAAGAGGAAAGCCCTTAAGTTTCATATTCTAGCAAGGGTGCTCAGCAAAGAACCAGAGAACAGCACTTGTAACCTTTCAGATTTCCCAGGAGAGGCTCTGAGGCTTCAGTTGGCACAAGTGGGTCTGTGTAACAACTTCCAGCCAAGATCTGATTTTGCAGGGAATGAGAGTTTTGAGATAAAGCAAAGGGAAACTTCTGAAAAGGCATTGTAGTAAGAATACTACAGGCTTAGAAAACTACTAAAATTGCCACAGTATTTTAACTGTATTTTCTATATATTATTTAAACTCTTTAGGCCAAGCTATGCCTGTTTTATACTGAACTGATCACACTGGCAAAGCAGTGTCAGAACCATGTATGGATGCAGTATTCCTAGGTTACAGGGGTTGTGACTAGTGCAAAAGAAAGGGCAAAATGAAGTTCACTTGGCAGCTCTCACCACTTCTGGACAAATCATGTTTTTGGCCTACAAAATATATAATGTCTGTTATTTTTAGTTTTATGATTGTATTATAAAATGTTAAATATAGCATATAATGTATAATATAAAAATTATTTATAAATATATTTAATACCTATTATGGTAATTTTATGTCATTTAATCCTCAGTAGGAGAATTAACACTTGTAAGATTTTTGTTATTTTCTCAGCAGCAGCTGTGTGTGCAGCGAAATGCTGCTCAGCAGCAAGCAGAGTGAAAGGAATTAGCTTCAACATTTTTGCTCTCTTTGCTCTCTGGGTGGAAGAAACAATCAGGATGGCTTCTGCAAGTAAAAGAMATTCTGCAGGTACAAAATTTCTTTCACTGAAATTTGTCACTAATAAAGTTGTAAGATAACTTACCCTTAGATAACTGAACACCATCTATGAATTTCATTAGGGGTGCATTTCAGATCATTAATYATGAAGATAAATAAGACCAGATCCCAAAAGTTAAATAAGATCAGTTGAATAAGATGGGAGCTCGTGATATCTTCTGAGCCCCTACATTTTCACTACCATTAGTTTGGGCCAGTTGTCAGCATTTCACCAGGGAAGCAGGGCCTGGCTCAATATTTTATAGCCTTGATTTGTGTTTGTCTTATGGCCATTTAAGCAAAGAAACCCAGTGTTCAGCAGCAATTTCCAGTTCAAGCAGGTCTTTTTAAAGAGATTAATTKGCAGCAAGTTAAGTAATGGTGCTCYTCATTTCTYTTTGATTAGTGAGAATTCAAAATACATTTTGCCCTGAAGGTGGAGTCTGCAAGCATGGATTCCTCATCAAATCACCACCTCTTCAACTTTTGAGCTCACAGGTATACTAGCACAGATTAGTCACATTTCAGCAATCCCTCTTATCTGCTATCCTGAATTTTAATGAGAGGCAAATTGCTTTTTCTTTGGCAGAATTCCTGGAAAAGGCGTCTTTTCGTCCTGTCCAARTCCAGCAAGGGGAATTACATCCTGAAGTATCTAAAAGGCCAACATATAAAAGGCTCCATAGCTGTTGATCAGTATGTAACTCAACTACATCCTCTTTTTTATTTTAAGACATGTATCARCCCTCTTCAATGGCCACTGATTGTACAGGCATTTGTTCCTGACTGAGGTTCTTGATTCAAACTGAACCAAGTSCAGAAAAGAGTCCCTTGGGCTTTTGTGGGCTTTGGGTGCAACTGAAATATGTAGAAATGAAATCCTGAACTGCTTCATTGTACTTTGGCACTTTTGTGTGAGTGATGGTTGTGATGGATGTGCAAACAAGGTCTCTTGCTTGTCTCCATGATTCCAGTCTGTGTTCCTGCAGGAAAACACATTTTACTGCTGTGAGCACGGTGCTGTGCATTCACTCACACGTGAATAAGGATGGGCTGTACACTCTCAGCCTTTCCCAGTGCTTTTGCACTTTGTGTTATCTCCTTATTCTGCCAAGAAACCGCTCTGCTTGTCTTGTTTGGGTCGGTCATTTCACTCCTCTCAGGCACAGTGCCTGCTGCAGCAAGACTGGGTGGCATTGGCTTTGTCYTGCCATGTACCATGTCACAGCTGGTGTGAGATATTTGCAAGGGAAACAGAAAATGGAATGGGAAATATAAACATTCAACCTGCGAGATTCTAGAGTTTAATGCTCCAGGCTCCATGAATTTTTAGGCATGGAGATCATTCACCCGACTGCTGTCATGCTTCTTACATTAAAAGCATTTACACTGTGAAGCTTTCAAAAATATTGCAGCTTGCCCAGTGGGATGTGGTTACATTATTACCATAATTATKGTTGTTATTATTTTTATTAATTTAGCTCTTGGAAGTTAATGGAAGCTGCACTTCAAGTGCTTCAAGTATCCATTAAGAGTAATTCTGTTCCTCTTCACCTCCATTGAAACACTATTAATACACAATTAGTTTCAAATCAAATCTATTGTTTTATAGTGGTTAAAAAACTTCTGCAAGAAATCTTTCTTACTATCTTTTCGAGATTCTGTATTAAACCAACAGCCCTTTTTTCCAGAAATGAGGATCTATAGATGGGCCACTTTGCAAAAGTTAATTTTTTTTCTTTTGCCTGGAGGTTTTCTTTCTTGAAAAACAAGGGCACTTTTCTGAGGCACTTTTTTTCTGT